TTTCCTTAACCTGTAGCTAAACATACCCCTGTGTTCACCGATGTTATTCTCCTGGTTCCCAAAAAATACTCTTGCTCCCTAACTAGCTATTACAATGTCCAAAGTTCCCTGCCCAGCCTTTAGACCATGCAACCAGCTGCACTACCTAACAGTTTCTACATTGTTTCACTTTCTGGATAGATATGTCACATCACAACACACTGGCTCTCATATTCAGATCCTAACTTTATATATCTGTGTATATGTATATAAGGAAGGATATAGGCAATAAAAAATAGATAGGAGAACTTGGGAACAAGAGGTAATACGAAAGAAGAAAGGAAGCTACTGGAGAGGGGGAACAGGATATACGGGAGAAGGAAAAGAGAAATGAGGAAAATAAATTGTATGAAAAATGCCATAATGTATGTTGATAAAAAAAAATAAAGGAAAGGAAAACTACTATGACTTCAAGAGCAGCCTAGTATACTAGAAGGACTCTACCATACTAGAGCTGTTTGTAAGGATTACTCTGTTTCTAGTCCTTTCTTTCGCTTTAAACTCTAATTACCTTAAAAGTCAGCACTGTGCTGTTTGGAACACATTCACTTGCATGGCTTAGTTACTTAGCCATTTCATTTCCTTACACATGCTGAGTTTCAAGGGACCAGAGACGATGCTTTATCTTTTATCATTGTTTTCAAAAGTGTCTAGCATATAGCTGTTCAACAAACAAATATTAACATTGCCTTTACTGAGTCTAAGTTATAGTTGCATATTATTGTGACCTCATCACCAACAGTCTTATTTATATAATGATGTGCCTTTTAACAGTACATAATATTGCACACTCTACATAGTATATAAGCATTGATTATAAATAATCACAAGAAGTAGTGTCTGAAAGAAACTATTTTTAAAGTGTTGATTTGAGTTTTAATTTTGATTTTTTTAAATAAGGAGACATGATCAAAGATATTAATATGGTGATCAGATATATAAATAATCCATCATATCAAAAGTTACAAGACTAGCTGGTGGTTCCATAAAAGCAACATAAAAACTTATTTAAAAGGAAAAATTAGAGATTAAATAAGATAACATCACCATATTTTTTGTCAATGTCTACAGAGAGAATAATATCATTTACTTTTATTATTAGATGAGGAAAAAAAAGTCTTGCTGGAGTTAAAAGTACTTTAGCAGAAATGAACTCATTTAATTTGTCTGATTCCCTGGGAAAAATTTTTGGAGAACATAGTAATTCTATATTATAAATGAAGATATTGTCCAGAGGCTTGAAATTGGAAGGACACAAGACTGCTTACCAAAATTGGTGGTTAAAATCCAAATCCCTCACGGTAAGCCTATATTTGTCCACTGGGCAATATATCACATTTATAAGTATTGTGTGTTGTAAAAACTAACTTTTAGATTAAAAAACCTCCCATTCACATCTTCCAAGACAGTTCTCTACTGCTCAGAGCAGCAGATGTAGGGGAGGGAAGAAAGAATCTGGACAACTCCACGTTCAAAGGATCTTGTTGCTTTGAACCATCTGATGACAGAGCCTCAGAGCACAGACACTAGACCGGTTCCTCTCTTTGCATAATCTGGAATAGCCACTAATTCTTTCTCTTGGATAAATTTTAAATTACTGTGGAGAGAAGAGTAATAGAAAAGATGAGAACCAATGCTCAAATCCCCATTAGGTCCCCATGGGCAAGTCCAAGGAACCATCAATACCCTCCCCTGAGAACCATTCAACTGCATTATGCTAATCCATTTGGAACACCTTGTTCTAAACAGAGGGGCAAAAGAGATTTGCTGTAAAATCCAGTTCAACTCCTAAGAAGACAACAGTGGATTAGGTGACCAGAGAGACTCCTTGGAGATTTCTGTGCTTGTGCTGTTTCTGAGTCATGTCTTCAGTCAAGGATAAAGTTGCCTTCATATACTGTGGCTCATGCTTCAGCAATGCTTTCACTCTAGGCAGATGGGCCATATGGAAACTATGAGCTGGTTTCATAGACAGGACGTCAATGAGCCGATGAAACATTTTTATGCTTTCTGTTTTTATTCAAGTGCTTTAGTGAACAATATATTATCATAGAACATGGCATATTATGTGACTTTGTTTAAATTCTGAGTTGTTATTAATTTTATTGTTATGGATGTTTTTAGTAGAAGATGGTTTTCTCTATCAGAGAAAGTGTTTCATTTAACAAGGCTTAGTCTGTTTTGTATGCTAAATGTACTCCCATTCTTAATTGAAGGCACTGAATTATTTTGATGTGTCATTCAAGTCACACTCTAAGAATGGGTCAGACCTAAAATCAGAGATTTTCTTTCTAAAATGAAAGGTAATAATAAAATCTTGATAAAAAAACCATTCTAGCTACAACAAAACAGAAAGAAGGAAATGGAAACAAATAAAATATAAGGGAAGGTAATTTTCTAAGAACTGGAAGACAAAGTGTGATTCACCAGACAATTGTTTACAGGGGTATAAAGTGTTCATTCTCTGTTTGCTAATTCAATAATTACTAGAGATGCAAAAAAAACTTTTCACTTCGAAATTTACCAAAAAGAAGGAAGCACTTTTTTTTTCTGGAGAGTACTTAAAATTTAATGAGAAACTGTGTGGGTGAGGAAAACTCACAGCTGTTGGCATAGTACCAAAATGGAACAGATGAACAGCACTCATGTGGTTGCGTGTTTTGTGTAGGCTGTGGGAGGGCTGCAGAATAGGTGAAATTAATATGTGGAAAATAACTGCACTGGTTCCTTAGAGGTATTCAGAAACTATCATATGTACTCATGCAGCCTGTAAATCTTTGCAAAGTCTATGATAAAGGATGATCATATTTCATCATTGTAATTAAAGCATAGTGGTCTGAGATGCTTTTCTACAGATGTAAAAATGCAAAGCCCAGAAAATATGGAGAGAGAATAGTTTTAAAGGGGGAAATTGAAGGAAATATAGTTTAAATGTTTCCTTTCAAGGAGATCTATGAAAACACAATGATATTTTATGCCTAAGATCAGAGGAAAATCACCAGATCTCCCAGTGTAGCAAATGAACTTCACGTCTTACAGGTTGTAACTCTTTGCATCTGGTATTTTCTATGTGATAAAAGAAGGTCTTTAGGAGGCTATAAAGTATGCTCATTCTATTATTCACCATGATAAATACTGGGGAGGTACATCGCAAACTAACTAGAAGCAAACATAATTGAATAGTTTTTTTTTTTTTGGTTTTGTTTTTTGGTTTTTTTGGGGTTTTTTTTTGTTTTTTTGTTTTTTGTTTTTTGTTTTTTTGGTTTTTATGAGACAGGGTTTCTCTGTATTGTTTTGGAGGCTATCGGTCCAGCCCGGCCTTGAACTCACAGAGATCCGCCTGCCTCTGCCTCCCGAGTGCTGGGATTAAAGGCGTGCGCCACCACCGCCCGGCTGAATAGTTTTTATGATTAAAACTAAGCTTAACTTTAAAAGTAATTTTGAATAATATACACAGTGTGGTGTCATATGCATATGAAACGAGTTGGTTTTCCTTATACTTGGCTATTTTTATTTTGCTTTAGAAACTTACTGAGACACCTACATAAAAACTCTAGGAACTGAGAAACTAAGCTTCAAAGTCTAGGCTTCACTCTAAGACATGATTTGCTTTTGTGGATAGTCGCCATTGATAAAACCATCTACACATCCACCACAAGGTGTGCTCTCTTGGTACCCCTGACACTCAAGGAGCCTATTTTCTTAAAAGAGGGTCTCATGTTTCCCAGGCTGGCTTGAAGCTCATGATAAAGCTTACAAAGAATGCCCTGAACTTCTGGTCCTCCATGTTTTCTCCCTAGTGCTGGGTGGGAATGGCACGTGCTGCCACCACCACATCCAGTTTATATGCAGTTGGGGACTTTGTGCATGTCAGGAAGGCATTCCGTCAACTGTACTAGAGCCCCAGTACAAGATACAAAATACCTTTTATCCATGTCAAATTATGAGTCCATATAACCAATATAGAACAAATATCAATAGACTGAAATGAATGATGAAATAAACACACGCATTTTAATTAATCATCCTATTGACTTTTTACTATAAAGTTTAAACTTTTGTTGTACCAAGAACCCCACCCTGATTTATGGTGCTGGTGAGAGACTATAAATTTGATATTTCTTCTTCTTGTTGGGTTTCTTTTGGATTTTGTTTTTCAAGACAGGGTTTCTCTGACTAGGCCAAACTGTCCTGGAACTAGCTCTGTAGATGCAGCTGGCCTCGAACTCCAGAGTGCTGGGATTAAAGGTGTGTGCCACTAACACCCAGCGTAATCTGTGCTCTGGGTCATTGGAAGGAAAGGGACAATCTAGACATGTCTATAACAGTAGCACAGACCAAACACTGCTTTCTTATGACTAAGACAACAGTGCTACAACATACCAAATGCATTTCTAAACACATGTACCTCATTTTTTTAATAACTAGAAATAGCAACTTAGAGAGTTTTGAAAGACAACTGTGGGGAAATAGCATCATCCTGACCTCTTGCCCTTTCTGATTCCTCTATTTGACCTGTTTACTTTGCAGGTGAGCATTGGGATGAGAGACAAATGTTACCTCATAGCTCAATTTATACATGAGGAAAGAAGTAGGGTTCCAGTGTTACAGCCTAATACAATATGTGCACATTTCTTTCAGCAGTTATTAAGGAAAACCATGAGAAAAGCAACATTATACAAATGAAAGCAAAAAAGAAGAAAGAAAAACCAAACCCAAAACAAACAAAAAACCAACCCAACAACAACTGAAAATAAACAATACCCACAAACACTGAAAAGATTAAAACCAGTTCTGGACATAACAGAGACGATGACAGATGGTGTAAATATTTCAAAACCCTCCACAAATAAATCGGCATTATTCAAACAGGATGCAACAAAATGGGGAAAAACGCAACGGAGCATCATCTGGAATAAGCAGTTATAGATATAAGCCACAGAGAGGAATTCATTTCTTACTTGCACAAATATCTTGAAGGGTTAGACAAGTCTTTCACCATGAAGCATTCGCCACCATTCACACAGAAAGTCTTCTCCTTCTCTGCACACTTTACAAGATGGCTGGTCCCAGTCGTGGATGTAGACGTGGCTGGATAGGGAGAAAAAAAAGGGGGTGAAAGTTTGACACTTCGTTGTGTAAAGAGAACCACCATGGTGATGAAACAAAATTCTGTCTCTAGCAAGGCTCAAATGTGGTGATACCAGGTCCCATCAATGGTGGGGAGTTTTAGTAGCACTAACTGATAAAGTCACTCATTTTGGCAAATATATTTTATGTGTATGTTCACACTGTGCATTTTAGACAAATGACAATGAAAGCGACTGATTGCCAACAGTCTCCTGAAGAAAGACAGACAGTTGGAGTCCTCTAGAAACATACAATCTTCTGTAAGACACATCTATTTGGAACCCAAGTCATCTGTTGTTTTATCCGACTTGACGTTTACTTTTCCAACCCGACAGTCCTATGGTAGTGAAGCTGAAGACGGCCATTGGACCACTGAGTACACACACTAAATGAAACCAAGGGCATTTAGCATCAGGCCTCTCTCTCCCCCTTTCCACAGCTCTGAACACCACGGCAGGGCTTAGCGTCAATCAGTGTTCATCACTGATATCAAACAGCATAAGGAGTATCGAGTCAATCAAGAGTCCGTCTACTTTTTCAGTATGGAAATCTATTATGGGATGAAAATTTTATCTTATCTACTGACTGATTCCCATAGATTTTTTTTTTAAAATCCCTTGTCTCTTATCACTCCTAGTTGCACGGGTCCAAGTTCCTCTCTGCACTTCACCCACCTTGTATGTTTTTTTTTTATTCTGCTTTTATTTTTCATTTTTTTCCAAATCACATTTTGTTATATTTTTTAACCAAATTTCTTCTACTCTTTTATTTTCATTCTTCCTGATCAGGACAATCAACATCTTGATTATTCAGTTCCAATTTCCCATACCCTTTCTTGTTCCCTGCTCTCCTCCTGCCTGCGGCACATTGGGGACCACAGCTCTCAGAAAAAAGAACAGAGAATCAACTCAAACTTGGAAGGTTGATCCAATTCAAACCCCTTTGAGAAAGTTTAGTCCTGACTCCCCTAAATTTCTCATTCAGAAAACAGTGGTGATGTCAACCACAGAAAAATTTTACACAGATTATATGCATTCTAGGTAAAGAATTCATGGGTGAGTGGGAAAAATTGCAATTTCCTTATTTAGCAACCAGAATTTAGAAACAACAGCAACGACAACAAAAAAACTTGACAAAGGGGCTAGAGCATAGCTCCACTGCATAGCATTTGCTAGGTTTTGTAAGACCCTGGCTTCCACTTGTAACACCGAAAGAAAAAGCTTAACATTAAAAATACGGGGACTTCAATTATTTGTGCTGCTACCTTATATCGCTGCTGCGAATAACTAGGAATAAGTCAACCAATTAATTTTTGTGGTGTGGAGAGTTAACCCAGGGACTTCCACATGGTAGATAGATAGGTAGCATTGAGCTACATTATTTCTGAACAAAGTCAATTTTTTTATTTATTTCAATAAAAGGCCTTTTCAAATGTCACTAAAGACATCCTTTAGAAATCTAGAAACCAAACTAAAGCTTGGTGATTATCCACCTCTGCCAGCTATGTTAGCAGAATCTTTATTACAATAAGGGAAATGTAATTTGCAGCATTTGGCTCATAAAATAATGGCAGAGAACATTTCTCTACACGTCACAGCATATCCTTTTAACCAAACAATACGTGTTCATGTGAAAAGCTGTCTATGTATGTATGTTAATTTTTAATCCGTGTCAATTGTCTTTAATTAATGAGGAAGAAGGCTGCTTTAACTCAGTTGCTGACAGCATTCCACTTAATAACGGAATTCGACTGGGTGTCCTTCCTGCCCCTATACAATAGCAAGTGTGTGTACCATCCACAGTGAACTGTCACCTTACTTTCCTGCACAAGGATGCTGATCCATGAGCAGTCCCTAGTGGTGTCTAAATCCTTGACATGTTGCTAAGGAAGTCCTTTGCCCCACTTCAGTAGCTCACTTAGAAGGCTCATTCAGCAGCATACATCCTACGACATTTACTAAAACCAAACCCAGCATGCTCCACAGGTGGATATAATTCTACATAAATTATAAATGAACAAGAGAAATAGGACATGATATAAGCCAAAGACAGATACATCACCCTTACTCTGTGGATCTTGTGGGATTATCAAAATAACTAAGACTAATAAATGCACATTAAGACAAAACAAAACACAATACCTTTTGACTCTTGAAAATATTTCTCACTGAAGTGATTTTTCTTTTATAACTCTGTCTCAATGTATCCAGCCCTGACACACTCCACTGAAAACAATTCCTAGATCATTACTTAATGGTAGTGATGAGACATTTGATAGAAGCTAATTTCTGGGAATGAGGTGGTAGCTATCTCACATTCATGGCTATTGTGCTTAACACTTTTATCCACAGCAGCCCTGAAAGCGTCATGAATTGTAAAGCAGCAGTTACGTTCCAAATGATGTGCAGTGTCAACTGACTGGCTATGGCTGCTCTGAAACAATGGCCAAACTCTAGGACAAGAGGCAGTTGCTAGAACTTGCCGGAGACACAGTGCTATGCACACTCTTTGGCTTTTTGTCATCCTTTCTCCTCTTCTTGGTTGAGTCTGGTATGCTGTCAGTCTATACATTTCATAGTGATAGTCTTGCCCTTTGGCTTCTACTCATATATTGCTAGGTCACATTCTGTCGGTTAATGCTGCCAAAAACCAATGAAGCAGACCAAACAGGACTTACACACCAAGTCACATGAACGGCCTTCTTTTTTAAGGGAGCTGGAAGGAAACACTGAGGACTGCGGGGAGAATTGCTTTCCATATACAAATGGTGTTCTAGGCAGGTGAACTAGATTCCACTCAGTGCTAATTACACCCATCTACCTCTGCTTTGTGAGCAGTTTGCCATAATGCGGATGTTAGCTGTTCTTAGTGTTATGAATGGCAATTAAGAACAAAACTCTCTAGGCTAGCCCATGTACACCTATAATCACAGTAGTAGGGGGGATGAAATGGTAACAATAGGGACTGAAGACCAACTTGAGCTACAGAATGAGACTGTCTGAACAAACATTGATAATAATTAGGACTTGATGGTTCTTATGTTGAAAGTGTCTATGAATGCTTCAACTCAAATGCATTTCCCATAGTAAGTTAGCAAATAACATGCAAGGAGAAAAAGCATAAATAAGGTAGTAACATATTGCCAGAGAATGTATCTGGGATGGCAATATAGGTCAGAGATACTAATCATTGCCAAGGAAGCTAGACATTTCTGTGCCTTAATAATAGGATTTGGAAACCAAAACCAGTATTTAGGAGTAGGAAAGTCCTTGTCATTCCCCTCCCCGTTCTGTTCTGAATCTGTCCTTTCAGACTTCACTGCTAAGCAATGGATATCGCCACTATTAATATGGAAAAGCATCATTCCAGGCATCAACAGTGCCAATGACTGGCAGATTCCTCCCAGAGGGCTGTTCAGTTAAACTCAGCAGCAAAAGCACGATGGAGGAAGTTATTATGAAGTTTCCTACAAGATTTTTTTTCTGCTGTAGTACTGTGTCCAGATTGAGTGTCAATGACTCAGCACTGATACATAGACACTGGAAAAAGGAAAGCAAAACATAATTTCTGTCCACATTGGAATTCCATTGTTTCTTTGGGAATGGGATGGGAGAGGGTCTTCTTTGCAATAGAAGTCAATGAATAATGGCAAGGCATTCAGTAAACACAGACAGCCTACTCTATTGCAAATGTTTCCCAAGAATTCAGAACCCATTAATTTGTTTACATAATAAAATGGATGAATGAGTTAAGAGAAAAAAATTTAATCTCTTTTTAATGATTATTTTCTATATTCAGTATTCACACAATTCCATCATGCTTCTGCCTGAAGTTCCACACTACAAAAACTAAATACACTTACACTATCCCAACTTAGTATAACCATTTAAATACTATAAACTATTTTACTTTACTTTGCCTGGGTTAACTCAGAATTCCATATCCTCCTGCTTCAGCCTTGTCAGTAGCTGGGGTTATTAGGCGTCATGGCCTGAGCTTTATAGGAGTATAATTAATGTCCATATGGTATGAAACATAAAATACATTTCATTCGTAACACAAGTTTTGAGCATTACACTACCACTTGCTTTTGCAAACATGGTGATCGACATCAGAATAACAATTTTGGCATTTTCTGCTCCTTACTAAGTTATTTCTTCTTGGAACCACACAGAGTAGCTCAAACTAAAACAAAAGTCATGCCGGGTGGATGGTTCCCTCTCTCCCTGGTTTAAAACACTGTTCTTCTTGTTAGTAAAGCAGGGAGACAGCAGCAATATATTAGGACCATGGCACATCCCTAGTAAAAGGTCAGGGCAGCCTCCTTTGGACAATTAGCATGAATCAGGAATAACAATGCCTAAAGCAAGTCATAAGAGTCTGTTCTTCCTGAGTGACAGTATGGTCAAAACACTTTTTACTGATTTACTTGTGGATAATTAAGTAAACATGAGGTTTTCTCAATGAAATATATAAGGCTATTTTTTAACATTCATATACGAAGCAGGTAAACTACAAAATGAAAGTTTTGAACCTTACCTGTACCTTCAAAGTTTATGTATTTAGAAATCTTATTGCTTTCTCGATATTCCATATCCTGTTAGTTTGCTTGGTTTTTTTTAAGCCCCAAATCCTTCAAATTATTATTCTTGTGCAAAAATTCTGTAGAGCTTCTCTACTGGAAGCACCCTGTACTGCTGGGACCTGCTTAGTTGGCTCTTGAGAGCGAAACACTTCTGAGCAGAAGCCAAGCAGGAAGATCTATGCTGCCCTGCCCACGTGGCTTCTCTCTACGGTAAGGGGATGGTGAGAGCAGTCATTAGCTCTCCCCAGGAAGAGCCAGAGCCACACAGGAACCACAGAAGCACTGTCATTCTGGATTGGCACATTTTTTTTTCCTGCATAGTAATTCAATGCTTTGCTGAATAGCACATAGGTCCTTGCAAGGGGAGAAAACTGCT